ATTAGTATAACTCTGACTGATGTCACTGTTCGAATTCATGCACTGAATCTTTCACCCTGTCCTTACATTTGGGTCTTTGAGCAGAGCAGTGGTCTGTAGAGTTGTACTCTCACTGTTCCTGGCATCCCAAGTGCGGCTGTTCTTTTCCTCCTCCCCACCAGGTAAAAGGAAGGCTAGTGCCTAGATAGTTGTAGTATGCCTTTGGCCTGTCACACATCTAGGAAGACAGGAATCTGTCAGCTCCTACCTTGCAGCCTAACTCCAATAATGCCAAGTATGCTGTGCAAAGTGTTAAGAAAAGAACCACCCACCTCAGCCTTCCTAAATCTGCCTTGGCAAAGAGCTGAGAATGAGAAAGAACTGGGTATAATCCAGACTTGAAATAAGTGGACAAATAACCCTTTTGTGAAATTATGCTTCCTATTACAGAAGGTTTGCTGAACAATCTCATAATTTGCTAGAAAGCTGACTTCACCCAACAGGTGTCTGTAAGCTACACCCACATTTTCCATGGAAAATAATCAATTCACTATCAAATATTTACAGTGATTTGGCTTCAGTCCAATTTCATCTCAGCGTGCAACCTCTTTGAAGAGGGCTGTATCAGTTCTGTGCAGGTCTTCTCATTGTTTGATACAAGTAAATATTATGGAGGGAAGCAGTCAGGCTTAGTAAATATGGCTGTATTGTACTCTGAGGCATTACAACTGAACATAAAAAACCATACTCATACTTTCTTTTCCTAATTGTACAATCTTTGAAATAGGACTTTCAACAGGTCAAATTGAGTTTATAAACTGCAAGTCTTACAACATACCAGCTATTCTAAGTATTCATTTCTACTTCTCTCCAGTTTGAAATGCTGCATAATGGATTAATTTCATAATCAAGAGTTTTCTTTGCCAGATGCATGCAGTAAATAGAGATGCTATGGTATTATTTATATCCCACCTTTCCCCCTTTCAATGAACTCCAGGCAGTTGACATAATTATTTTCTCAGTCTTATATTCACAACAATAACCCTGTGAGGTAGGCTAGGCTGGAAGTCACCCAGTGCACTCTATGGATGAGTGGGGACTACAACCCAAATCTTCTGCATCCCAGTTCTACACTTTTAACCACTACATTGGCTCTCAACTTACTCACTTAGAAGAGATAAATATAACATATATACACATACATGAGAGCTGAGGTATTAAAATAAGTTAATACATACCAAAATTACAGGTGTGTATACTATAAAAGGTAAAGATTTCCCCTTGACGTTAAGTCGAGTCATATCTGACTCTAGGGGGCAGTGCTCATCCCCATTTCCTAGCCGAGGGAGCCAGCGTTTGTCCGCAGACAGTCTCCGTGGTCATGTGGCCGGCATGACTAAACACCAAAGTGCACGGAACGCTGTTACCTGCCCACCGAAGTGGTACCTTTTTATCTACTTGCATTTGCATGCTTTCAAACTGCAAAGTTGGCAGGAGCTGGGACAGAGCAATGGGAACTCACGCCGTTGTGCAGATTTGAACTGGTGACCTTTTGATCAACCAGCCCAGCAGCACAGCGGTTTAAACCACTGTGCCACCTGCATCCCTGTGTATACTATACTCAGTATATATAGTATAGTGTATACTATACTAAAATATAATTACTATATTTGAATAAATCTATTGAATTAAACCACATTCAGTCAGAGGTCACCAAATATGAGAGAGCAACAAATTTCCTTGAGACCACTGGCCAGTATTTGTGATGAGATAACCTAGGGTGCAGTGTATCCATTATCTCTTACTAGGGCTTGAGAAATTTTGGGCAAACTGTACATGCAAACACAAGTCTGCATACCTAATACAGATGGAGTCTTAAGGGACTGGTGTGAAGTCAGATGCCTCTAAGATCTTCCATGGGTTATGTGCATCCTGCTTGTTACATACCTAGATAAGGCTTCCAGCATATCTAGAACACTACCAATTTACTCTCCTTCTCACATGGTGTTCCCCAGTTAATGCAAATTTGTAGAATCAGTGGCCAACATGTTTTCCATGTTCAACAGAACCTCAATAAGTTGTATTGATGAAGAGTTGTAGAAGCAGCAAACAATGTCTTCCTGTTGTTATATGGTGCTTGAATAAGATTGCCAGTGAACAGTCCCTGGCATGGCAGAACCATGTATGTGAGCAAGTCATTATAGATACACACAAGACAATACCTTATTGCATAGAGCCCAGATAACAATTCCAGTAAATGAAAATTGTAGAAACAAGTGGCCATCCACCTTTGTTTCAAAAGGCATGTTAATGATCGCTTGAATAAAGCAGCCTAACACAATGCTTGCTGGTGAAATTCTCCAAGTGATTGCACATATTTTGAAACAAGCATGTACAGTTATAAGCTGGTGACTGAGACTGAAACAGTTTCACAGGTTTGCCCTCCTTAACAAAGCTGACCACAAATGATCTATGCCAATAAATCAAGTGTTTCACCTGCTTTCAGATAATAGAAAGGCACTTCATTCTTCCTTTATACTAAAAGCATGTGTTCAATGACTGTGCATCTCATGATAGAGTTAGCTCACCTTATAAACTGTGGAAGTTCATTTGCAATGATACCTTTAACTACAGCTTTTAATCTTGGATATTGCTCAAAAAATGTGTAACCAAAAGGGGAAATGAACAAATGAACATCCTTTGGTGCCAGCAACAGCTTCTACCAGGTAAGAGACACAGCAAGCACAATCACAGTTTGTGTGTTGCTAAGAGCATCACTCATCCCATAATTTTGATGAAGTAATGCATTATTTCTGAACCAGGTCACAAGCTAAAATGGTGTGGAGGCCTTCTTGATCACTGCCCTGTTTCTCTTCTTCCCAGGCACACACCATCATAATGTGGGATTTCCATCAATCTTTCAATTATTAAAACCACTAATGGAGAATGTTCACTCCCCTCTTTCTCCTTTATAAGGGTATTATAACTATTACTATTATTATTAATAATTACTCCATCAAAGAGTAATTATTACTCCTTATATTATTACTATGGTTAAGCTAATGAGTCTCCCTATATTCAAAGCTCTCAGGACACTGCACTTAAAAAAAATCAAATGCAATAAAATCAGTGATAACAATAATTAACAGCAATCCAGTGTGACTACCCATACGTTCCAAACTTGGACAATTATGAGCATTCTATGGAGGATGAATGAAGATAAAGTTCCAACCATGCAAAATACTTAGATGGCAGCTTTTGCCACTTAAGTGTTTTTCCCCAAGTGCAGCAAAAGGCCAAGACTCCTCCAGGATAGTACTACTCATGCTGGCAAAGCTTATCTCCTCCTTTCCCCCCTGGAATGCCAGCAGAACACCTTCTCAAAAGTCCTCTAGGACACTTTTGATACTGTGACTTATGATAAGGCTTTGGGCGGTGCTTTGTAAACTGCAAAATTTTTGCTAATAACAATGCAAATGCTTCAGCTTTTTGGGTATTTTGGAACTGCCAAATACTAACTCCACACAGCGATTCCACTGTATAGTAGTGCAGGCAGATAGGTGCTGACACTGAAAATCCCAATGGGAAACAAAGTTTTCACATATTCTGTGTATGAGTGAAATTCAGGATGAACTGATAGGGCAAAAACCTGTAACTTTCATACAGGGGACGAGGACTATGCCAGTTCCCACTGCAAAGAGGGGCGAAATGCTATCTGAAAAGGCTGCTGATGGGGACTGGGCGTTATGTTCACATGACTCCAGTTCTCTGTCAGCTTCACTGCCTTCCCATTGAAGTCCGGGCCCAATTCAAGGTGTTGGTTATGACCTATAAAGCCCTTAACAGCTTGGGTCCTGGTTACCTGAAGGAGTACTTACATCCATATATGCCCACCCGCCCCTTGAGATCAGCAGGAGAGGCCCTTCTCCGGGAACCCTCCGTGAAGGATATGAGCAGGGCAAGTACTCAGAGGAGGGTTTTCTCTGCGGTGGCGCCCAATCTATGGAATGCCCTCCCCAGAAAGGTCCGCCTGGTGCCACCGTCGTTTTTCGGCACCAGGCAAAGACCTTTTCATTTAAGCGTTATTTTAATTGTGAATATTATTTATTTTATTCTTTGGCCAGGTCGACTCAAATTATATTGTTTTCATACTGTGATTATTTATTTACTGTTGTGAGCCGCCCCGAGGCTTTGGCGAATGGGGCGGCATAGAAGCTTCCGAAAGCAAGCAAGCAAGCCTTGGGAACCATCTGGACCCCTCACTAAGCGAAGCCAGCAGCGGGGAAAGTTGGAAACAGCAACTCAACAAGTTTTCACGAACATTTAAAGAACAAATACTCCCTCTCGTTAGCAGTGGCTCGAGAATAGAAGCAAAAAACGGCGCCTCTTAAGTCGCCATTCTTGGAGCACCGCATAAGAAGGCAAGGTTTGCTGAGAGAAACAATCACGCTAAGGAAAGCTGAGGACAGCGAAAGCCCAACTTCGATTCCCGAAGAAAGCCATAGCCTGGAGTTAAGACAGGACTTTTCGGAAGGCATTCATGAACCATAGGCGACTGGACAGCACACTGCAACAACCCCACACTCTGCAGCAGATACAACCACGCCCACGAGCTTCCCCCGCAGAAAGACAGTCTTATATAGTGTCTCCTTTCCTGCCTCCTTTCCTGCCCTCGCAAGTCACTGGCTGAGGCTGGCTGAGTGACAGCGTACGCTCCACCATTCAGCATCCTCCGTACATCGGCGAAGCCTCTCCGATTCCCCGTCTCCCGTGATTCCGGTCACGTGCGCTCGGTTGTCGGCTGCGTGTGTCGCCTGGATCCGCCCCCTCCTGCCTCTGTCCGTCAGCTGCCCGACGCTGCTTCCGCCCTCCGCCTCCAGCCGTGAGCCCGGCGTACGTAGGTGCGTTTGATTGACTTCTTGGGGGCGGGCAGCGGTGGGGAGAGGGAAGCTGCTGCGCGCTCGGTCGCTGACGGAGTGGGCGGCGGAGGCGGGCGAGGCGCCGGGGCTGGGAAAGCCTGGCTCTCGCGCCTGTGACCGATAGAGCGGTCGCGGGGGCTGCGGGTGTTTTCCTCCCTTTTCTCGGTCATTTTATTGTCGGCCGCCTCGCCAGAAAGCAGCGGGTGCCAAATCCCGGTCCCCTGAAAACCAGAGGAGGACGGGACCCTTTCCGTTCGCGGTATGACCCCATGCCGGTGCTGCCCTGCAAATACCTAGTTGACGTCCTAATTCAAAATAAAGCCTAGGAAATGGCGTTAAGCCTGTAAATCAGCCTTCCCTAGCCTGGCGTCCTCCAAATAGCTGAGGTTACAAATCCCATCAGCCCCTGCCAGCATGGGATTGGCTCTGTAGCCAAAACCATTTGGGAGGTGCCAAGTTGGGGAAGATTGCCGCCAGTAAATGTGCTTGTGGATTCCCAGTCTCTCGACATTTTGTTTATTTCAGTATGCTTAGTTCCTCAATAAAATGGACCTATAATTGGTTTTCTCTGTCTCACCATGTCTGACCTGTGATGATCCAGTGCAGAGTGGGTTGACTGATAGATGGGACATTTGCTTCTCAATCCTCCCACCTTGCTGATTTCATCATGAGGCTTTATCTAGTGAAAAAGCTGAGACATTTTAGAGGAGGGCAAGAAGTATCCTGGCATCTTCAGTTTCCCAACAATCCACTGAAATGCCTCCTATTTCTTTTCTCAGCAGTTGAGTTTCCAGCTGGTGTGGTTCTTTCTGCAGCAGTTTGAAGGGAAAGGGAGATCCAATCTCATTTCTAGCTCCAAGCTTAGAGTTTGATTTTGGAGCTGGGAATCTAAGTCTATCCTGTGCCCCCTCAAATGCTGTCTGGGGGCCATAGGATTATTTCTTAATTTGGACAGCTAGTTGTTTTCGGGTGCAACTGAAAAACCCCACTGCTAGCCTTGATATTAATGCTGTCCTAAAAAATAGTTTGATTGGAATTGATCAGATTGAAGTCAAATATGTAGGCCTTTAATTCTTAATTCACATAGTGGTGGTGGTTGAAATATGCCAGACTGTCACAGAAATCCACTATTCACTATAAGCCAACTACATGGCAATGGTAAATCAAAGACAGCATCAGTAGTAAACTTGGCAGTGATCCTGCACACTACCAGAGCTTTCATATAGTTGCCACTATATCACACTAAATTAAAATTTCACATTAAAATTAAATTTTCTTCTAATTATTTCTTCTAATTTCTTCTAATTTTCTTCTAATTATTTCTTCTTTCTTATATTCTTAGAACATAAGAATTGAACGTGCTTTAGCAAGCTCTATTTACTGAAGGTCACATTTGTACAAAAAGGAAGTATTCACAAGTGAGAACCTTCAGTTATTGTAACTGATGCTACCTAAGTATTTTATGCATTGTATGTTTTTATTCATTTGGGCTACAGAATATCTGACCCTTTGATCAACGAAGAAAGTGATAATGTCCCAAGCACGCAAGCCGCCTCTTGTGACGGGTATTTCTCCCAATGAAGGCATTTCATGGACAAGGGTCACCATTCGAGGCGAGAACTTGGGAACAAGCCCATCAGATCTCATAGGTAAGTCAAGAAGCCTGTTTAAGTGTTGGCGGCAGTAGTATGTGTCAAGCAGAGCTTACTCAGACGCATCAATTGCTGGCAAACTTTGATAATTTTGTGGTATTATGAAAATATTTGGTAGACAAAAGATGGGAGTTTTTTTTTACATGTAACATAGTATTGATGGGATAATAATAAATGTGTCTGCCATTTGAATACTAAGAAAGTGAAAGCTCAGACCTGAACTTTTCAAGACCTAGGTTGGTAAAAATTAAAATTATGACTCAGAGTTTGGACCTGCTCATGCTACTGTGTGACCATTTGAGCATGAACAAGACACAAGGCTTGGATCCAGTTATCTCATTCAGAGTTAATCCATTGAATATTATATCCCATTGATTTAAGTCTGGCTATAATGCAATATTTGCAACATATCTGTCAGAAAAACTTGTTTCAGGAGAACTACAGTTGGAAGTTTTTGTCCTGAACAACCATTACATATCTGTCATGAAATACATTCTTGAAGTTGTACCATAAAGATCTATGGAAACATTGAAATCTGGTCAGAACATTTCTGATCCCTTCCTAAGGCCATGCCATGAAAGTTAACATTCAAATAAAGTAACAGCTATTTCTGGGCTTTCTTTTTTCCCCAAATCAGGTCGGATTTGTGGGGAGGGGGAATGGAGTTGCCAGGAACACTGAATCTATCCTCCAAGGGAAGTCTGGTCCACAGTATGAGAATCACTACTGGTGCTTTCTGAGCTCAATTTTACAGGCTTTTGTAAGCTTATGTTATAACTGTAACCTCCAGTTCAGCTGGTAATCAATGCTGAGTACTTCACTATTGGCTAGTAATGTCAATATATTTAGAACACTGGCTCAAAAATTACTTTAAACTGCTTTTTAAAAAGTATTTTCTTTAATAAAGGTAAGTCATTTTAGTGGGGCCAAAGACTTCAGGTACTTATAAGATGATGAAATATTCACTATCAGTCATTTTATTTTCCTCTGTTTTTATCTGATTCACTAATAGGCTTGACCATTTGCGGACACAGCTGCCTTCTAACTGCTGAATGGATGTCTGCCAGCAAAATTGTGTGTCACGTAGGTCAGGCTAAAAACGACAAAGGAGATATTATTGTCACGACAAAGTCAGGAGGGAAAGGGACTTCAACTGTTTCTTTCAAACTCCTGAAACCTGAAAAAATAGGTATGCTTGCCTCAACCATTTCTTTTGATAATTGTACATAGTTTTCCTAGATAATTAAATACATTAAGCCTTTAGCAAGTCTTAATAGGGTTTGGTTTTGAGATTTATCAAAAGCTATGAACAGATGAAGACAGTTGTATGTAAGAGTTGGATCACTGTTCATCTACCCCAGTTCTGTTTACTCTAACTGGTAACACTGCAGGTTGTCCTGGGTGTTTATGTCCTAGGTTTGTTACTTGAACCCCTTTAAGTGGAGATGTTGGGATTGTGTTTGACATGTGGAAGATGTGTTATGCTTTTAAGCAGTGGCCCTTCCCCGAAATTTAAATACTTAATTCTCTTAGTTGTTGATCAGGCTTCTCAGGCTTCCATAGCAACAGGTCAGAGGTGGAGACCTCAAGATCTTTCAGAATGCAATCACCATCAGACCTAGGCTTCACATTCAGTGACAAAGAATGATGTGAATTGCATCCAGCAGTGTCTGGAGAGCTGCACATTCCCCATCTTCTCAGATGGAATAAGTTGTATTACATTCAGCAAATACCCCATTGAAGTCCAGCTAAACCTGCTCTGATCACACAAGGTGTTTTGGCACCTGATAGTAGGAAGCATGTTTGAACCTTTCCTATGCACATAAGAATTTTAATTCTGGGAGGAATACAGAGGAAATTTAAATGTAAAACCTTGACAGTCAAAAGCATATGTTTCCATTAGGGATTTTGGAAAAGTATAAAAAAACAAGAACTGGCAATATTAGAGTTATTAATCCAAATAAAACCTTTTCCCTTTTTCTTCTTTGGATGCCGTTTTTAGACCAGCAGATGGTAATAAAAGCAGTGGTTTCCAGGTTGTTTTGCCCTACCTAGGCCATACAGTGAGATAGGCATGTATTTTATACTTGTAGAATTAAGTCAAGAAGCTCTACAAGGCAGAACCTCATAATGCTGGACAGGGCTTATTGCTGTAAGGATATTCATTTGGTTTTTTTCTAGGTATCTTGGATCAGTCTGCTGTCTGGGTCGATGAAATAAACTATAATGACACACGCACTGACAGAAACAAAGTGATGCCCCCGGTATCTCTTCGTCCTACTAATCCTCTTGGTATTGAGAAAGACAAGTGAGTACTGAGTAGTACTAATTTACATTCTTAGTAACTTCCCATGTATGAATCCTAGAAGGATTCAGCATTTTAGATGGGAGGAAAGCAAATATAAGGAATTTGATGTGGTAATAGAAAGGTAATATTTTATTCCCAGTTCTCTAATGCCTTTACTGGATAAATTCCACCTCTTTACTTTTCAGCTAGATAAAGAGTTGCTTTTTCTCTGAGGAGTTTTGAAGATAAAGCTTCTTCTCATGTTATAATCCTAAGTGTAAACCTAGAGTTCTTCAAGGGAGGTTTCTATTATGCAGTCACACTGCCTTGTTTACAGAATTTTACAGCAGGTCCCTCTGACAGTGTCTTCAGTTTGTAGTTTTTGGGGGTGTGTTTTTCTGTGCTGCTTCTGTCCTTTTTCTTACCAGGAAAAACTTTTCAAAGGGAAAAAGATGGAAGAGTTGCAGAAAGTTTTTTTGATTGTTAGTGCTTTGGGTACCCATGGAAGCACCCAAAAAATGTAAATTAGGAAGGCGATAAAGTGCATGTACTGATAAACTTGTCAAGGGGCTAGTCCCACAGACTTAATGATCTTTGATCTGATGAAACATGGAAAACCATCTTGAGAATAAGCTTGTGCCAAGTGTGAGATATGATTCAGTTGTCATATTCTAGACTGTAAACAGGGATTAAACCACAGTTTTCTGATTTGGCTGTAGTGCAGGAATGCAGAACCTCATACCAGGTATCAAATCTGACCCACTAGGGGTTTCCCAGAAGACAATGCTTCTTCATTGTTGCCTTGCCTTTTTCTGTCTATGACATACTGTTTTGTGGCTTCCTTTGTGTAGTTTTTTCCTCATCCTAGAAATGCCTCTCATAAGGCTTAGTTACTTGCAGTAAATGTTTTATACTTAAATATGGTGTGGATTCTGTTTTGCTTTGTTTGATCCCACCTCTTTTGCCTTCAGCTTTGCCCACCATTGAAATGTGACACCCAAGCATTCTTTGAAATGGAATTTGTCTCTTAGATAGAACAAGGCTCTGCGCATATGTTTAATCGGTAACTGTGGTTTAAATGCCTCAGTATATCAGCACTGATGGTCAGGGAGGGAGTGCCTAGTCACATGGTGCATTCTCTAATTCAGAAACCATAGTTTATCAAGGCAGTATAATTGCATCTGAACTGGACTTCAGTGTCAGTTCATGGTTTGTGTAATGAGTTGGATCGCTCCCAAACAAGAAAGGTAAAACAGTAACCTTGTAAGTCCAGAAAGTATGCATAACATTTCAGCCATAGCCATGCCAACCACGCAAGCCAGCAACTTTGTCTGATGTCCAGTTCTCTGGTAGACTTCTTGTGCTTGTATGTATTTGTTTGTATTATTACCATGTATTACTTTGTATTACTACATATTGTATTAATTTAAGCAATGTTTCTGTGTGTAAGTCACTTTGAGACTGCTTTTTGCAATGGAATGTGACAAATAATCTAAATAATAAGTTAACACTCTTCTCAGATAAAAGTCCATGCAGGGGGGATACTTTTAATAGCTGTGGGAGATGAAAGGATCAGGTGGTAAATGAGATTGGCTGTTCAGAGTACTAGCTAGTTGGAGTTAATGAATATGTTTAGATTAGGGTCTGTACAGTAAAGGATCCATTTCTAATTTATTTCAAGTTGACATGCTGATGTTTTTTAAGTAACTGAAAATCTTTTTTTATTGCTCAAATACTATGCAAAGTTCCAATGGTGGCATTTTTATAAATAACTATTGACATGTTTTTTTAAGACTTGCCTCAATAGCAAGTATGCTTTTGTGGGTAGAGGTCAGTACAATGTCACAACTATTGTGTAAGATTAGCATTTCAGACAGGCCATGAAAATATTTAGAGAAGGCCAGATTATCATTGATGGAATTACCTGTATTGTTCTTAGTAAAATAATGGAATGTAATCTGTAGAATATTCTTAGCAGTACATTCCACAAACCTGTACCCCAAATAAATCCTGCCTGATTCCAGCTATAATATAGCTGCAGGCATGTTTCCGTAATAGTAAAGTGCCTTCTTCATACATGCAGGGGAACTTAAGAATCCCCAGTTATAGAATCTGCTGCAACAAGTGAAATACTTATAATGTTCATACCAATGCAATACAGGTCAGATTCTGTCAACATTGCAAGTCAATACATTTGCAGAAGTGTTTTGGGTTGAGATGCTATTATACAGATATTGGAGCATCGCCATTCACAGCCCATCCTTGCACAGCTTGCATCCCATCACACCCACTAGCTATGCACCATGTTCTTTGACAAATAACCTTTCTTGGTTTTGCAATTCTAGGCCAGCAACAATCATAAGAACATTTGTTGAGCCACTAGAAGCCGCTATTAATTACCTGTGCATTAACTGTGTACGAGTGAATTCAGAATGGTGAAAATTAGTAACAAAAGCTACACAAAAGGCTCAGATAGATTAAAATGAAGAAAGTAAACTCTCTTTCTTAATTCGTCTGCCACAAATAAGGAAGAAAGAGCTGTCCTGTTTGTAATGTTTATAACCAGAAAAGGTGCATGAAGAAATGAATAAGAAAACAAACAAATGTTTAGGAGAATATATAAATAATGCCTCCATAAAGAATTGTTTCTGTAGATGCTTTTGTATATTTATCTATTCTCGATGTTCAGAATTCATTTTATCGGAAATCTTAAGATTGTAGAATTAAGACTGTCCATAAGGCATGTAAGTATAATTGTTCGGGGAGTAGATGTAAGTATGTTAATCAGTATGTTAATACTTACCATGCTGAAAACCATGAGCAGGAACAGTGTAGCTTGGGCCATATTGATTAGGTTGCAGTTGCAAAACTTAACATATGGCCTTAAAAGATCAAACATTTCATTTTCTTAATTGTAAGAAGGAATTTTATGCCATGTAAAAACTGCTACTTAGTTGAGTCTCCTTTCAAATTTTGCAAGTATGGTACTTTATTGCTGTAACTATATCCACTATTCACTTATTCTTATGAAACCCATTGGGTTTTGGGAGATTACAATAATACAGATGTTTAATTTCCCACTTTTGTAAGTACTTTGCTTTGTTTTGCATATTTAAGCCATTGAATGGTGCTCCATGTTAGCAGTCACAAACTGTTGAATGATAGTGGGCCATCAGTAATATTGAAAACTGCAAATTACATTTGTAGAGCATTTTGAAGTCCTTATATAAATGTGAAAATGAAAATCCATAGATGTTTGTGCACAGTTTTACATAATTAAACTAGAAATAACGAATTAAACCAGGAGATTATGAAAGATAAACTTATATTCTTACTGTAGGTTTTTGATAGCTATATAGGAGAAGAGACAGCATGCTTCCAGGCGAGCACAGCAAAAGGAGCTTGCTTGTATCTTTTAAGGATGTGGAGTACAAGTCCAGGAACAAAATACTCATGGACAGCATGCCACTATATCTATTAAAATACGAATAAAAGTGTTGGGGCATTCCAGTGAAATATACTAGACATTGGTGATTGCACGTACATGGTATGTTGTATATGGTTATTTGTGTCATGTAAATTCCTTAAGTTTGTTTACTTTCTTTATGAACACAGATGTGTCACCATGTTTACTACTGTGCTAGTGCAAATTAATTTCAGCACGGAAGCAAATCTTCCATGGTGACTAAGACATGAATCCTACATGGATGCTACGATAAGTTAATTGAGGGAAGTTTGCAGAAGCAAAGTTTCTTGTTTACTTGCCCCCACTCATCCACCATCAATCCAGCAGCCTCTCACAAAGTTTGCTTCAGAGGAAGGAACTGGCTCAGAATTCAGACCCAATCCATTAGGATCTTGTTTTTGAATATTCAGAAAAATAAACAAGTTCCCTTTTAAGGTGTAGTATAACTCTGTCTTATTGTTGGACCAGTGTAATACCTTTTCTGTCTTTATTTCTCTGGTATCTAAATGCATTTCTTAAAATATTGCAACAAGTTTTGATTCTAATTGGTCTTTATATGGCTAGGAATAATCAATATGTCTTTTATGTCTAGTTCCTGTGTCATTTTTTGAAAGTGACTACAAAGGTACTTGTAGTACAAAGGTAGTAACTTTCCAGTAGCCTGAATGTGTCTTCAGATTAGTAATTTAGTTTCCACCTTCAAGATATAGCTTGCTGATCACACAGTGCCACCTAATGGAATATGTGAATCCTCTTTTATGATGACAGAGTTTAATATTTTAGCTGAAATGGTCTGTCTTTGCTTTGTATATAAATAGAAGAGCTTAGGTGGTTTTCTGCAAGTTTTAGTTACATATTTTAATTTTCCACAGACCATGACAAGATCATGAAATCTGCATTAGACATATAGGTATGATGATAGGCCAAATATGTCAGAGTTCTATTGATTTCAGTGGGATAGGTGTTGTGTGATCTCCCACTGAAATGAGTGGCACTTAGTCGGCTTTTGCTTTCTGTTTGCTGACTGCAGATTTTTGCCATCAGGGTAAGGTATATACTCACCTTTCTCATGGTGTCCCAGTGCCACTTAGACTATGGAATGTTCTGCCACATCAGTGGCAATGGCCAGCTTTGCCGTTAGCTGCCCTTTGGGTTGTTTACAGAGAACATCCTTATCCTCTGTCCCGCTGTTATAGAAAGTCCGTCTTAACACCTTTGGGTTTGTCCTGTTTAGTCTGCTTTAGCATCCTTTCTGCTGGTCTCCTGCATGCATGAATAACAGAATACAGCTGGTACAACTTTTGCTCCTAGGAGTCTGGCTGATACCAGACATGTGTATGGTAACTTGGTTTGTTTATGGTGGTTGCCATTCAGTCTTTATTTACTTAAAATGGCTCTTCTTGACCTATAAAATCCTCTGGAATCTAGTTCTTGTTACTTTTCACTGACAGTACCCAGTAGAACTGCCTTGTTTGAGTTTTAAATAGATTTTACAGAGCCATGTACACAAAAATTACTACATCTCACTTGCTGATAGCTATTTAAAAGCTCCATT